CAGAGGTGGCCATGCACAAGCCACGCCTTTGCCCAGGAGGCTCACGGCATGGCCATGGCCACCCTGCCTCAAACCTGCTGCCCCTCCATTGCTTGTGGCTTTAGCACAATGCCTGCTGCATACCAGGCGCCTCCTGCCCCTGGCACAGTGCTCTCCCCCCTCCCCGTGACACCACAGTCTCCCCCAAGAGCCATGCTGCTGCCCCCATTCCCAGGCCACGTGCTGGGCAGGCAGCCGTACCCCACACTGAGCCATGCATCAGCCCTGCCTGCGTGCCCAGCTCCCTGTAGCAGGGTGCTGCCCTCGTGGTCCCCACAGGGCCATGCTACAGCATCCCAGGTGCAGGCATGCCTGTGCCCCCAGCAGCCACTCACCTACACAGCGTCCATTCTCGTGCTGGGAGAATCCCTGCCCACACTGCATTTGGGGAGAAGCAGAGAGCGCTGGGATGGGGAGGAATCAGCCCTGGCAGCAAACAAGCCAGCAGAGCCCAACCCCTGATTCCTGCTCCCAAAGCCTCCCACTCTGCACCCACACCTGGCCCTCACCTCCAGAGGTCCATGGATGAGTGGGTCCTCCATGTCCAGGGGGTAGGGGACCTCCAGGACAGAGTTGGTCTCACTGCTGGCCACGGCTCGTGCCACGACACGGCCATCCGGCCAGGTCACCTCCAGACTGCTGGCTTCATCATGCCCTGTGGGCGGGCAGCCCATCAGAGGGGGGGTCTCCGGGGTGGGCAGGGGCTGAAAGGAGGCCAGGGGGGTGGTAGGGATGCAGGGGCAAAGCCTCCCCTTGCAGCAAAAGCCCTGGTGCCAGGGCAAAGCAGCAGGCAGAGGGTGGGGAAGGGGGCAGTTGCCCCTTGCAGCACAGCCGCAGCGGCTGGGCACCCTGCCCACAGCCTTCCCTGGAGCCCACCATGCCCAGAGCGATTGGCATGGATGACCACTATGCTGCAAGGCCACCGGGGCAGCAGAGGTGGCCCCTGCCCAGGGGGTTGCTGGGGAAGGCTGAGGGTGAGGCAGCCCCTTTCATCCCCTCAGCTCACCCAGTCCAAAGTGCGCCACGGGCTCCATCTCGCAGAGGTACCCCGATCCGCCATCAATGATGCGCAGGTGGGCCCCACTGCGCCGCGTGAACAGCACCACTTTGGCCCCCCGTGCAAAGGCCCCAAAGCGGGTGCGGGGGATGATGCGCAGCCAGTTGTTGCTGGTACCCTGCAAGGGAGAAGGGAGGAGGGAGGCTAAGCAAGGAGGGTCAGAAGGGCTGGGACAACACAAGGACCCCCTGCTTGACCCACCTGGGTGCCCTTGAAGATGGAGATCGGCTGTGCCATGGACTCACCATGGGACAGAATGAGGTCCAGCATCCCATCACTATCAAAATCTGTCACTGCACCCCCTGCAAGGACAGGATCACGTCATGCTTGGAGCCCATCCCCACATGTCCCTGGGCTCCCACAGGCAGCAGCAGCACTCCTGGCAATCCAGGGGCAATAGGGAAGATGGGGTGACCCCGAGTGCAGGGGTAAGGGTCCCTGTATGGGTGGCACCCTGCAGTCAGGTGCGTCAGCTCCTTGGGCAGTGGAGGGGACAGGCAGTCCCTGGGGGGCTGTGGGACACAGGAGGCTGCCTAGCCCCCTCCCAAATGCAGAAGTTGGCTTTGAACAGCAGGGACCCGGGGAGGAATCCCACAAGAGCAAAGCACTGAGGGACAACCAGAGATGGCACTCTTAGCTGGGTATGGGTGCAGGGAGAAAGCACGGGGCTGATCCAGGATGCTGGTGGGGACCAGGCAGGTGACTCAGCCAGGCATGTGGCATCCCCAGGCATAGAGGGTGCCAGGCGGTGCTGTGGCACACCCCTGGCGTGGGCCCCTACTGCCAGGGCTGAGGTGGACCCACCTGTGCCCCGTCCCTCGGGCTCCAGCGCATCCCCCGGATTCAGCTCTTCCACAATGGGGTCCGAGTGCTCCCTGCGGATAAGCCTGCCAAGTGCAGACAGGGCATTAGTGCCAGTCCCTGCGGTCCCCAGCACTTTTCCGGGAAGAGCCTGTCCCCTCCCACAGCAGCGTGGTAGAACGGGGACAGCCCCGGTGGCTAGGCAGGGCAGATGGGTGACCCCTGCCTGTTAGCACCTCATGTCCCCACTCCATACAGGGATGTCAGGGGAGTCTGGCTCTCGTAGGTCTGAACTACAGAGCAACAACACCACCTCCAAACAGTGCTGCATCCCTCTGGGACCGGAGACCCTACACCACTGCTCTCCACCCACCCATGCGTGCTGGCACTCAGTGAACAATCAGCTCCCATTGCCCCACATGCCAGGTGAGGAGGTGCCACACAACGGTAATGAGGAATTGACCCCCCCGCAATTAACAGGAGCCATGAACAAGCTTCCATGCGGCTGCTAATCAGCGGTGCCGGGGACCCCGGGGGCTGCTGCAGGCACGATTGCAGCAGCTGGTAATGACACTGGGAAGGGTTCAGTCACGGTCCCTTTTATTAGCTGAGCCCAAGCGGTGGCACTGCTGGAGAGGAGCCTTGTGAGCCTTCCTGTGCCATGAGGATGGCTCAGCCCCCCAGAGCGGGGTACAGGCTGCCCCAGCCTCCCAGTACCCGCCCGACACCTACCGGAATAGGCGGTTGGCAGAGGAGCCACGGTAGGCGATGTTGTTGAAGAAAACCTCCAGCTCCTGGTCGTTGTCGAAGTCAGCTGCAATGACGGTGCGGACAGGGGATGGCATGGAGAATTTGGGGGTGGCGATGTCCTGCGAGGGGTGGGAATGGGGTGACAATGGGTATGGGGAGCAGGACACCAAGTCCCGCTTTGGCACTTTGGGTCTCCTTCTTGCTGGGAACTGGGACTCAAAGCCAAATCAGAGTGAAGCCAGCCCTCTGGCCAAGGAGGCTCAGTGGCAAAGCTCACAGTGGGGGGTGTGTCCCAGCCTCAGCCCTCACCCGGAATCGGACGCGCCCGGGGGCCCCACTCTGCAGGTAGAGGCGATGCGGCCCGTTCCAGTTGCCGTAGACAATGTCCACCCGGCCATCGCGGTTGAAGTCAGCCAGTGCCACGCCACGTCCATGCTGGTAGGGGTCATCCAACCCTGGGGAGCCGCAAGGGGATGGGGGGGAAACAGGACCACCTCCCTGCCTTTGTCTCCCCCAGATGTGCCCCATGGTCCCCAGCTGGGTTGTCCCCACGCAGGGCTGCATCCCTGCGCTGGTGGTGTTCTCGTGTGCCTCAGCCACCCCCAGTGGTCAGTGGGGCTCTGGGTACCCAAGGCTGTCCCCCCACCTTGCACTCAACCAGCCCATCCAGGCAGAAACAGGCAGAGCCAGCCCTGCCCTGCAATCCCCAACACCTGGGTGCTCCCCCCAGATCTTCCTACTTACCCACAGCAGCCGCCACATCCCGGTACGTCCCGTCCCCCCAGTTGTGGAAGAGGAAATTGGGGCTGTTCTCGTTACCGCAGAATATGTCAGAGGCGCTGTCGCTCAGGATGGGGCCCACGGCCACCCCACGGCCCCCTGGGGACAGCAGCCTGGGGGTGAGGAGACAGCTGGCGCCCTGCCCCAGAGGAGTTCATGCCCCCCCAGTGCTGCCCACCCTGTGCTTTCAGGACTCCCGTTGTTCCCTCCTTGCCCACCTCCCCGCCTTCAATCCCTCTCGTCAGGAGATAATTGGGCCTGGCAGCTGCTTGTGTCACTCCCAACCCTAATCACTGCCATCACCATGGTGACAACACTCCTAATTAGTGACAATTTACCGCTGGGGAGAAGGGGCACAGCAGTGGTCCCCGCGGTGGTGGGGCAGCATGGGGCGCAGGCTGTCACGCTCTCCGCTGCCCTGCTCATGCGCCCGCGTCTCCAGGCCACGCTGCCTGCCCTGCAGAGGTTGCGGGCTCTGGAGGGATCAGCCCAGGTGATGGTGGGCATGGGGGTCCTGCCAGGTGGGCATCCCGTGGCCCTGGTCCCTTCCACGGGCCGTGGGGTTGCCACTAGATGGGGCAGTCAGGCAGCCTAACGCGTAGCGTGGGCCACTGACCGCACTGCCCTGCCCGCAGCGGGGTCCCACGCTCGCTGTGCCCAGCAGTGCCCTGTCCCCACCACGGGACGGTAGCAGCCAGGTACCTGTGTACTTGCTGACCCCAGCCTGGGCGGCCACATCCACCAGCACCACAACGCCACGGGCAGGGTCACTGGCAGCCACGTCCATCTCGATCAGGGCATGGGGACCCACGTTGCCGCTGGCGTAGTTGGCGATGTAGATGGAGTACCTGCCGGAGCCCTGCAGCCGGCAGCACCTCCTCAGCACCCACCCGCCCAAAACCCATCTCCACGGGGACCACAGGATCCCTGCCGTGGGGCTGGATGCTCTCATGGCTCCACAGGACCAGGCACTGCTACCACGTGCTGAGCAAGAGCTCTGCAAAGCCCCATGGTGAAAAGCATCCCAGGAGTGGGGATGTGCCCCATTGCCTCCAGGAGCTCTGTGGTCCCCAGGCTCATGGTGCCGGCACAGAGCACCCTGTCGCCCCCGCCCCAGCATTCCCAGTGTGCCAGATCCCCTCCATCCCCACCACCCGCCTTGTCCTGTGCAGCAGCTGGACCCTGATTTAGTGATAATCATTTGGAAACAAACCGCTGGAGGAGGGGGAAGAAGAAAGAGCAGGTGACAGGAACATGAATCACCTTGACAGGCACGTTTATCAGCTGGCAGCAACTGTGTGGACAGGTGCCCACAGTCCCCATGGCTGGGGGGGCTGCCAGCCCTGACAGTCATGGGCTGCTGGGAGGCACCCCCAGCCCCAGTGGGGAGTGGGGTGGGGCTGGTGCCCAGAAAAGGGGAGAAGTCCCCTGGGACCCTGCAGGGGAGGGCTGGAGGGGCACAGGGGGTGGACAGGGAGTAGAGATGCCCACTGCCCACCAAGCCCTGCCTGCTCACCGTCCTGTCCACACAGGCGACGGAGCGCCCGGCGAAGCGGCTGGCCACATCCCGGTTCACCTCATCGCTCAGGAGGTCCTCCCAGCGCCCATTGCGGAGCTTGAAGAGTTTGTCTGTGTAGGTGGCCATGCCTGGCAGGGAGGAACAGGTCAAGGGGCTGCAGCATCCCGCCTCTTCCTGAGGAGGGTACCCTGCAGCAAGGGGAGGCTGTGGGAGAGGTACCCTTTTCCCAGAGCATCCCAAACCTCTGCTTTGTCCCCAGCAGGGCCACAGGGCCAGGCTGCCGCTGCAAGAGCCCCTATGACCCTTAAGGGCCGCCAGGAGACACATGGAAGAATCAACTCATTAAGGTAAAATGTGTCCTAATGGGGCGCAGCCCTGTAGATCATCCCCAGGAAGGTAAAAAAAAAAAAAAAAAAAAAATGACCCGGGGGCG